AGGGTGCAGTTACAAAATAAGGTAAGCAATTTTGCATGTTTTTCGCTGGCACTCGATGAGAGTTGTGATGTCAAAGACACAGCCCAGTTGATAATTTCTATTTGAGGTATCACCAAACATTTTGAGCTCACGGAAGAATTGGCATCAATGCAGTCAATGAAAGATACGACGACTGGAGAAGACTTTTTGGAGGCAGTGAATAAATTAGGAGTGGAGTGTAAAAAATTGGTGAATGTGACCACTGATGGAAGCCCAAATCTGACAGGCAAAAATGTTGGGTTACTGAAAAGAATTCAAGATCAAGTCAAAGAAACAAATCCAGAACAGAATATTGTTTTTCTACACTGCATTATCCACCAAGAGATCCTCTGTAAGAGTGCAATGTGTCGTGGACACAGTTACGAAATTGGTCAACGACATTCGAGCAACAGGATTAAACCACCGGCAATTTGTAACTCTGCTTGAGGAATTGGAATCTGAGCACATCGATGTTAGTATCGCACAAATGTAAGATGGCTTCGTTTAGGAAAGGTCTTGAAAAGAGTGTGGGAACCGAGAACAAAGATTGATTTATTTTTGGACATGAAACAAAAAGATTCGGATTTCCCACAGCTGAATGATGCGAAATTGGCTCTCTGATTTCGCATTTACCGTTGATATCATGGGCCGTATGAATGAACTGATTTCAAAACTGCAACGGAAGGGGGTCTTTGTGCACAATTTGTATTGCAGTGTTAAGTTATTTATGACAAAATTATTTCTTTTATCGCGTTAGATAGGACACAGGGTGTTCGCCCACTTTCCAACTTTGCAGCAGATTACTGTTTGTGGTCAAAGCCTTAAAAAGTATATTTTATCACTACTTGACTTAGGTGCCGAATTTTCTCGCCGATTCCAGGATTTCAATTTGAACAAAAATGACCTGTCTTTGGTCTCTTCACCTTTCTCATTGATGTTGACAAAGCCCCGTTTGACCTTCAACTCGAGCTTATTGACCTGCAATGTGATCCATTGCTTGCGGAGCAATTCAAATCAGTGCCGCTTCCCAGTTTTTACGCCTCTCTTAATGAATATACCTTTCCAAAAATAAAGGCTCATGCCCGGAGGATGCTTGTGCTGTTTGGATCAACATACATATGCGAGGAGACATTTTCTGTGATGAAATTCAATAAATCAAAACATAGATCTGTGATGACTGATGACCACCTTGCAGCAGTACTCCACATTGCAACAACGGAGACGGTGCCTGACTTCAATTGTCTGGTTAACGCATATCAGCACTTTCATTCTTCCCATTGAGTGAGCGTCTCACATTCTCATCAATTTTTATTTAACCTAATTTTAATGAATGTCAATTATATAGATTTTATTTCATGCATGTACAAGTGTAAGATTTGATTTTGAGCTATTATTAAGCATTTGCATCTATATTAAGTGTGTGGCCCGCGAAGCTTACCAAAACTCGTGAAGTGGCCCATCAGCCAAAATAATTGTCCACCCCTGGTTTATATCTTTGTGTGTGTGTGTGTGTGTGTGTGTACATGTTTGTTAATTTTGGTTGAGTGCAGGAGGATTGCACTGTATTTGATTATGATTTCCATCCTCCTCCAAATGTACACACACACACACACACACACACACAACGACAACACTTACCATCCAGGCTCACTCATGAAACATGGGAATGTAGTAGCGGGTGCCCAGTTCCAGGGGTACAAAAAACCAAGCAGGAGTCAGTCAGTCATACTTTATATATAGCATAACATCCACCTGACGGGAATTCAGTTCAATGTCTCATCCAAAAGACTGAACTTCTAACAACGGAACACTCACCCAGTATTGCAAGTGTATTATCCTAATGAGGGTGGGTCCAACCTTTTTGGCCGCTGAGGGTCGGACGCTCTATTTAAGAAGCATATGTGGGCCGCATAAGCAATATTTTTGTGTTTCCCTTCCAGAAACATAACATTTACAGGTTATGGAGGGAGCGGGTGAGCCAGATGAAATGGAAGGGGTGGGGTAGAGGGGTGAGGGGTGGATGAATCTACTACCTTCAGACCTCCAAACTAACAAGGCAGTTGGATTAGGTTTGGATTTTGAATATCCCCATTTTGAATACATATAAACTGGCAGTGGCTGTTTCACAGTGGAAAATAGAATAATAATAATCTTTGCATTTGATGTAGCGCCTTTCACTCTGGAAAGATGTCTCAAAGCGCTTCACAAAATTTCACAATCATAATCCTTCTGTTTGATACATCGCCTTATCACGTCTTCAAGACGTCTTAAAGCGCTTCACGGAATATACTGTAAAGGGAATTGACTGCATATTTTGTGGGCGAAACGTGGCAGCTAATTGCGCTCAGCAGCGTCCCACAAACAGTTGTGGATTGTGGATTGAGCGACCAATTTTTTTTTGTGTCTGATACATGATATTATGATATCAGTATTCTTACAGCCAACAACTGGCGGATGTCAACCTCGCTGGTCACCAATAATGCATTTCATCAGACTTGTCTGATATGATTATAATGAACATTCTAGGGATTTTTATGCTATATTAATTAGATCACAGTAATATAATAAAGTATGTGATTATGTTAGCTCTGCGGCACCTATCATTCCAACAAAAAGATAATCTGGTTCACAGGGGACGATTTAATTTTTTTTAACAGATTTGATACGCGTTGGTTTACTTTCCAAATAAGGAGGATCACGTTCATTTAAGATGAGGCTCTCACTGCAGATTAACTCTTACTTTCAATAATTTATCGAGGACATTCACTTAGTGTAGGAATCATCGGCCTTTTGTGCTGCCCTGAACTCTCTACTCCACCGTCGCCAGTCATGCGTTTAGCCCCGAACCTCTAGGAAACCTGACTCGATCGCTCTTCCGTGCTCCTCTTTACCCGTCTTCAAATCGCACCTGAAGATGTTCGACCATAGCTAAGGTCATCTCCCTTTTCTCCCTGGCTCGGTGTCAAGTTCCACCATTGCTCAACACTTCCAGATGTGACCCCCACATGGAGGATGCTATACAAATGCATGTTGTTGCTGTTGTTGCAGTGGAACTGACTTCAATATCTCAGAACAGGGAGAGGATAATTATCAGCCAGTGTTTGTGCTATCCAGTGACTCTTTATGTGTGCCTTGTGCGGCCTTCAGACAAAGAATCGGCTTGAGCTCCAATATGATGGACAACAGCACCCTTCCTCCAAGTTGAATGCTCCGCAGATCTTTATTATTCCGGTTCATGGGAATTCATACACAACAGAGAAGCTGTGGGGAGGCATTGTTAACCAATGTGTCCCTCTGGCAAATTCCAATGGGGCTTCATCGCAGCTCAATTTCAAATGAAAAGACAATTTACAAGTAAGATATATCTCAAAAATCACCGACACCCCCACCACACACACACACACACACACACACACACATAAAAAGTTGGCTATGCACAACAGTAAAATCTTCAGAGGCCCAAAATCCCACCTACTTTTAGACTGCAAGACCATCTTGTCTTAAATAGTGTATAAGATGGCGCAGAAATGTGAGAAATTCTTTAATTCGGCCTTAATTTGGAAGGCAGTTTATTTTTAGGAACTGTGGAAAATCAGCCACCAAATTGATGCTAACTTTAATCAGCCTCTCGAGTAATGATAGATTTCTCTCTCAAGTGACTGAGAAACCGCATAGAGCTAGGATCGGAACTCCTGTCTCCTTGCTAACTGATCCTTGTTATCGAGCAAAGTGAACACGGAAAGAAACATGGCAGAGAGTAGTTGGCGGTGGAAGGGAGGGCGCCTGAGTTCGAAGGTGACCTGAGAGGATTACGCCAAAATTAATACGCCAAAAGCAGGACTTTGGCAGAGTACTGAGATTGACAGCTCACCAGGGGGTGTTGGCCAACTCTCTTTCTTTCGTTGTTGAAAATACATATTTATTTGAAAATATAATATTTGGTACAACAAAAAAATCCAACAAAACGCAAAGCACCACCGTTACACTGCGTTTTCTGTATCCTGACACTTAACATTTTATTCTTTACACGTTATATTCCCCGACAGGGCAAAACGTTGGGCCAATTTCCTTACTCCGCACGCCTCTTCTACACGGTGAGCATCTCCGCTGGGGTTTAGCGTTTGCTGTCAGCCCGGCCATTGTAGGAGCGGCTCCGGTTGGGGTCAGGCCCCACCTGGCCCTGTTGGCGTGGCTGTGCCGAGCTTCGACGCCTCCCGAAGCACGTGGTCCCTGGCGGCGGAGTGTGCGAGCCTGCAGCAGGCCGGCCCCCCCCCCCCTCTGACGTGGTGCTGTGCTGGTACACCAACTGGTTTCGGGCGACCACAAGGGTTGGTGATCTTCCGGACGCGCTCGTTGTTGGTCTCGCCATGTGTCGTGAGAAGTGGGTTGTCCAACTATGTTAGCCGGGCAGCAGGGAAGTCTGTCCTACTCACTCTCCGGGGTCAAGTAGTCAACTGTGCTCAGCCACGACAGAGCACGTCACTTTGTTTGTTTGCACAGGAGGATCCCAACTGATGACTCTGATTGTGGATGCCCTGTGATAAAGAAGGGTGGGACGGGGGAGGGGTGAAGAAGGAGAGAAGGGGAGGGGGCACATTCATGTGTTGAAGCAATGCCAGTCCATCAAGAATGCCCTGCGGATTCGTTAGTTTGTGGCCGTTCTTTTTAGTGCCCCTGCGCCTCAACAAAAAGCCTCCTCGTTCAGAGGCCCAGAGAGAGGGGCGGGTTTCAAAGGCAATATATGAGATACGAAATGGGATTGAAAAGGTGAACCCACACTTTTGGATTCACTAAGGAAGCAGGACAGAGGGCACAGAAATACTTCCTAGTATCTGTCCCGAAATTCCCCATTAAGGACAGTCGCTAAGAAGTATTTCTTTATTGAGAGGGTAATTAACATCTGGAACAGCTTACCAGGAAGGGTGGTTGTAGATCAAGACGCTGGACTGATTTAAGAAACGGCTCGAGGCTGTAATAGGAAGATGTGGACATTCTGGCAGGATCAGATCAAAGAGACTGAAGACACCTTCTACTACCTTCCCAAGTGGCCAGGTTTGGTTGGGCTTTCTTCATCCGAACCCTGCTTGTGATTTTTTTATATAATCTTGTAAAAGACTGTCAGCTGCTCGAAGTCATCCTCCAGGCTTTTGTGAGGTTCCTGGTTTGGAAGTGCTGATATTTCATGGGCACTGCTGTCTTTGAAACATAGAGCTGTGGGAAAAAAAAGGAAACCTGTTATTACACATACCCTGATTGTTAACCTTTCGTTACTCTTCAACGTGTCTGTTTTGTTAATTACACGTCACAGGTTTGGTTCCTGGCCTAAATGCTGTCGTGGGCTGGTTAGAGCAATAGCCTCGCAAATGAGAGGACCTGGGTTCAATTCCCCGACAGGGCAAAATGTTGGGGAAGTTTCCTTACTCCACACGCCTCTGTTTATCCAGCAGTAAGTAGGAACCCGGCTGTTAGTCGATTGGTGGATTGCTTTTCCTGGGGTAATAATCCCTTCAAAAAAATAATAATAATAAATTGCTCACTTCAATTCACGACTGTTTGTGGGACACTGCTGTGCGCAATTGGCTGCCACGTTTTGTCCACAAAATATACAGTCAATTCACTTTACAGTATATCTTGTGAAGTGCTTTGAGTCGTCTCAAAGACGTGATAAGGCTCTGTATCAAACGCGAGGATTATTATATTAATTGCATGATTAAGGTCACCTGTAATTCTGTTTACACATGGTTTACACCCGGTGCATAGTACAGATGTGTTAACAATTGCTTTACACATGGCACATAATATTCTCCACAATCTTGGTTTGTTAATAAATGTCTAGGTCTGTACCCAACAGCTGCGCCTGCAGTGTCTACGTATTATTGCAAGATTACTTAGAACTATTCTCGAGGGATTCCAGTTTCGGAGCCCAATAGCAGCTGAACCAACATTTAGCTACAAAATAGCTGCAAAACACTGCCGCCCAATGTCTTTCATGAGACTTTTGTATGGGAGTATCGTTCTGTACGCAAAATAACTAGAACTCGGCACTGCACAAAGGACTAAAGCTACAGCTCCTGTTTGTGTGATTTTTATGTTGTACCATCTGTCTGAAGTGACAGTGAATTCAACGTCTTTTTGGTGCTGCAATCCAAATGTTTTTTTTGTTGTTCTTGTCGGCCTCAGATGGCAGTGGGGACATGGCTGGTTGCAGCTGCACTTTGCCTGGTTACGCTTACACCATCTCACAGCGGACTTTTGTGTGGCCCACGGTAATGGACCATCTGCCGTAGATTCTTCTCATGCGGGGGTCAACGGCAGTGCCAAGCTTGTCTCGCCTGGCGAGGGCGAAAAGTAAGTGGGTACCTGAAAGCAATTTGTTCCTTTTGGGCAAATGTTGCTTTTTTATACAATACTGTAACTACAATTCAAAATAAAAACTCCCATTTATATATATGTGTATATATTTATATATATATATAACATTTCCTATATTTTACAGGAATATTTGTTGCAACTGGGTCCTGTGTAGGAAAATGCTGAACCTTGGCTCTCTCGGGTCCAATGTAATTTGATCACTAGAAGCTCATTTAGAGCTTCACATCCTCCATCATCTCCGCACTCGGCTCTGTGTGAACATCAACCCCAGCCTTGGCAACCTCCACTACCTTCACCTCCCTGTGCCCCAGCAGATCAACTGCAAAATATTCTGACCTTCAAATCCCTTCCTGCTCTTGCCAAATCACACCTCTGCAATCTCCTACACCTCCTGTGCATCGTCTACACTCCTCAAACTCAACCCTGCTGCATTTACCTCACCCCTTCACCCTAATGGACAAGCAGAAAGCCTTCTGCCACTGTGCCACCACTCTCTGGAACTCTGTCCCCAAATCCCTTCAATTTGTGTCCTCTTTATCCCTGTCTTCAAGACTCATCGCTTTAATCATTCTTTCAATCAACGTCCTCTATCCCCTCTCGTCCCAGCTCTCTTGGTTATCCACTCCATTTCTATACCACACTTTGAGATGTTATCTCCGATGCTATTTACAAGTTGTTAGTCATTTTTCCACCAAGTTCCTATAATGAGATTTACAGTTATACATAGTTAGGATAAATCATGGCTATTTCAGTGTACGATTAGACAACTCTGTAACTACTGGGCTTCATTTCAAGATAGTTCCCTCGAACTTTTGAAACCAAATAATGATTTAATGTTGTATGCCAGGCCACTAAAATAGCCTAATTTCTGCTAAATCCTTATAACAGGATGTAGCAAAAAATGCTCTTTTTAGGGGTCAACATAAAATAACTTGGCCATTTTTATTCTTTTGCATAATTTAAAATGATTGGGTAATTTTTCCAGATTATTACTGGTGTGTCAGTAATAATCCCGTAACATAAATAAACAAATAAACAAATAATTTGTTCACTCCATCCACGACAGTTTGTGGGACGCTGCTGTGCGCAATCGGCTACCGCGGTTCGCCCCCAAAAATACACAGTCAATTCACTTTATAGTATATTCTGTGAAGCGCTTTGAGACGTCTCGAAGATGTGATGAGGCGGTATATCAAACGCAAGGATTATTATTATCAAACGGTGCCTATTCACTATTCAGAGATATATAACTTCAAACAATGGAGGTTGCGGGTTCAAGTTTTCCCAGACTTTGACCTTGAGTCGAGGCTGAGATTCTAGTGCAGTACTGGAGGAGCATTTCATTATTGGGGAAGTGTCATCTTTTAGATGAGACATTAAACCAAGGTACCCCGTCTACCTCGTTCAGGTGTACGGTAAAGATCCCGTTTACACTATTCAAAAAGAGAAGGTATTTTTGCCCAGTTTCCTGCCAAAATCTATGAACAGATACATGAATTGATTACCCACTGAATGTTTCTGGGACCTTGCTATGTGTGCTAAAAATAGCTGCCATGCGTGCCTACAACGTTATAGCAATTCCCCAGGATTAGGGGTTTCAGTTATGAAGAAAGAGACTTGATACTTTTTTTATTACAATTGAGTAAGTTGAGGGATGACCTGATTGAGCTCTTCAAGATAATGATTACACAGAAGTAAATTATTTCCAATGGTCGGCGAGTTAGTAATAAGAATACTATAATTCAGATAATCAAAAATAAAGGGGAGGTTAGTAAAATAAGGCATTGTGAAAATGAAGGTTCTTTCTTATCTGGAACTGAAGGCACATGCCACGGGCTATTTTTGTAGTTGATTATTAATGTTGGCTCTTTTGGAAAAATGATTCATCTAAAGTGCTCGAACAGCGTTTACTGGTGAGAGTTTGGCAAAGGTTTCAGAGAAGACATATTCCATGGAGGGCTCCCAGATGGTGATACGTACTGTATCCACTGACCTAGATAGACAGCTGCGACAACGGTGCACGGGAGGCTAATTTTTATTTTGTACATTCATGTAATTGAGTTTACATTTCAGTGCCAATTCCTGCTAAGTAATGAACAGTTTTGTAATGCTAAGGGCATTGGTTTGAGACCGCCCAATCCTTTCAACTCAGTGAGAGAGCAGAATTTTACCCTAGGGTGATTCATTTTATTGGAGAGAATATTGGCCAACACCCCAGGAGAAACGTCCTTCTCTTTTGCCTTGAGATCTTTAATGTTCACCTGAACAGCCAGAAGGAACTTCAGTTTAATTTCTCATCCAGGGACGACACCTCCAACAAAAGCAGCACAGCCCAGCAGTGCACTGGAGTGTCAGTCTGAACTGGGCATCAAAGTCCCAACATTGGGGTTGACCTTCTGGCTCAGAGGCAAAAGTGCTATCAACTAAGCCGGGGTGACGCCCTGTCTGTATTATAGCGCCTCATCACAGTGCAATACAACCACAGCTTGGCTTTATATAGCACCCTTCACACAGGACAGCACATTGGCAGGGTTGAATACCAACCAAGGGAGAACGGGTATTCAACCATAGGTGAGGTCAAAGAGAACGATTTAAAGATATGTTAAAGAGGGTGGTGAGCCGGAGGGATGGGAACAGGGAGCTCCAGAGATTCGGGGTGTAGTTGCTTAAAGCACGGCACCAATGGTCGCGCGGTGAGGTCGGGAGAACATACAGCAGACCTGTGTCAGCAAAGGACTGGGGTACGAGCAGGTTTGAGACATGGGGAGTTGGTAGGGCTTAACGGCAGTTTCTCAAAGCGCTCAGGACACTGTGTAGGACTTCCCTCCCTTATTGAAAAGGGTCAGAGAATCTTTACTGTCTCTGGGGCCCGTCTTAAATTCTCAGTTGAGAGATGGCACCTCTGACAATGCAGCAGCACTGCACAGGCGTGTTAGTTCAAGGGAGACTGTGAGCTCAATCCCAATGGGAAGCTTAAATGCACAACCACTGAGACAATAGGACCTCCCAACTAAACCGAGCTGACACCAGATGCCAAAGGACAGTGTGTTCACCCGTAGGGTGTGTGGGGGGGAGGGGGAAAGTTGCATATGGGAGAAAAAGCTGGAAGGGAAAAAGAGGCATATGCATTTGAAACCAAGGTAAAAGATCAAATGAACTGAATTAATTAGCAAGAATAGCAATGCCTCTTTGTTGGTTTCCTCTGAGCTTTGCACAAAACAAAGAGCTAATACAAAAATATATTGTATTGTAGCTCAGTACTGCCTGCAACAGGGCACAGGGGCCGAATACCTCTTTGCTGGGGACAACATGCTAACTGTCCAGAAACAATGGTCCCTTCATGTTATCGCTGAAATATAGCATACGGGAGGTGGGGGGGAAGGGTGGGGGAGAGTGAGAATTTGGAGGGTGGAAGGGGGTGGAGAATGGTACACATTATTTCCTGTTTACACCAGTGCTTCACCAGGTATTTATTTACAATCTCCCAACCCAAAACGTGCTCCCGAACCCGTTCCTTGCTCTCACATTCCATGTAACTGTTCAGTATTTTGCCTGTTCTGCTTCTCCATGAGTTGCCGGCCCTGCTCTCTGAGTTTGTATGCAGTGGATTAGCTCAAAAATCTCTCGCTAATCCTCGAGCGGCGTGAAAAAAATTGTCTTCCAGGGCTTTATGCGCACTAAATGTCTCTATTGACGGAACTGTGTCATGGTCTGCCGTTCAGTACAATGGCCACCTCTTCCTGGGACAAAAGGATGGTTAGAGCCAGGTTTTTGGTCGGCAATCAATGGAAGCACTTTCAAGGGGGCTTTACTCTGAAGCCAACCTCATTACCAGCCAACAATGTGATCCCTGTACATTTGCTCTCCCTCTCTCTCCCTTTTCCACTCTCTCTATCTGTTTCTTTGATTGCAGGAGGCATTTGCTCTCATTTTGATGACGCAGTTTTTAAGAACCGCAGTTGCACCACCCACCTACCCTGTACATTCTGGATTCCAAGTTAAGATTAAATGGAAGAATTTTCCACCATCTTAAATTTTAAGGCAAAACAGTGGTGCAAATTCACACCTGGTGAAATGTCAGGCCTCAAGAGTTAATCAGTCAACTCGGCCTTAGTTGATTTTTTTATCTTCCTTTGCCAGAAACGCTGAGGTCAATGATAGCCCCTGGGTTGGCCCTGACTCACATCAGTTAACTCAACGTAGAACCAAGATTTGACCCCGCGACCTTCTCACTATTTTGGGTGGTGCCTTTACCTACTGGGGAAAATCAGGTCGTTTCTGCGAGTGATCCGTGTGGGCTCATTCTTCTGTGAAAGAAACCAAGCACGTTCCAAGCGCTACGGAATCAACTGGGCATCACGAGTTCATGGATTCCTCTCCAGTGAATTTCACCAATAGATACTTGCCAATAGGGCGTGCGTTTTCGGAGCTGGACAACAAACAGTCTAAACTAACAGAGTTCTATGTGGTTTTCAGTAATCCCTGCGTGCCACCAGCTACGTTGAAATCAACATTGCACAAGACCACTTGTCCTTAACCAAATAATTGATTCGCCCATCCCTCCGACACACAAAAAAAACAGCACTCTGTCAGCCTCCAGCTGGTGTGAGGCTTGAATCCACAACCGCGCTGTTCAGAATTAAAGATGCTACCAACGACAACTTGCATTTTATATGGCGCCCTTCACACGGGGTAGCGTCCCAGAGCTCTACCAAGTGCACCAAACTGATGTGATTTATAACAGAGCTTCAACACATCATTCTTTTGTAAAAAAACAGAGGCTCTGGGTAAAGGGAGCCGGGGGGGGGGGGGGTGGAGACAATACAACTGTGCTTGGAACAATCACCAAACTATTACTAATATGGACTGACAGCAAACACAGCAACAAAAGGACTATTATTCTGCAGTCTGGCTAGTCACAATCCTGCTCACTCAAAAGTGTCAGGATCCAAGGGCCCCAATCGGTGTGCAGCACT